GTTATGGGATGGAGCTTCAGGATGAACGGCAGATCTCAGGGGCTTGATATATCTCTACTTCCCAAGCTACCCAATGAGAAATCTAAACTTTTGACAATTGGCTTGCCTACTATTTCATCGTTTGTGTTGTTGACAGCAATCTTGGCTGTAGCTTATTACATGAAAAGGATGAAGAAAAAGTATGCAGAAGAGCTAGAAGACTGGGAACTTGAATATGGACCTCACCGCTTCATGTACAAAGACTTATACATAGCCACCAAAGGATTTCAAGACAAGGAGATATTAGGGACCGGAGGATTTGGTAGGGTGTACAGAGGTTTATTGCCTACATCTAAAATTCAAGTTGCTGTCAAGAGAGTGTCTCATGAATCAAGACAAGGAATGAGGGAATTTGTAGCAGAAATTGCCAGCCTTGGTAGGCTACGCCACCGAAATTTGGTGCCACTTTTGGGTTATTGCAGACGTAAAGGTGAGTTGCTATTGGTATATGAATACATGCCAAATGGAAGTCTAGACAAGTTTCTCTATGGCCAACCAAATATCTCCCTCAATTGGGACCAAAGATTTCGAGTCATCAAAGGTGTGGCATCTGGCCTTATATACCTACACGAAGAATGGGAACAAGTAGTGGTTCACAGGGATGTTAAGGCTAGTAATGTGTTGCTTGATGGTGAATTAAATGGAAGATTAGGGGACTTTGGCCTTGCAAGACTCTATGATCATGGAAGTGACCCTCGAACTACTCGTGTTGTTGGTACTCTAGGGTACCTTGCCCCAGAGCATACAAGAAGTGGCAAGGCCTCAACAAGCACTGATGTATATGCCTTCGGAGCCTTTCTACTCGAAGTTGGCTGTGGTAGAAGGCCAATAGAGCCACGAGCACCAACAGAAGAGAGAGTTCTGGTGGACTGGGTGTTTTCCCACTGGAATAGAGGTGAAATTTTACAGGCTATTGATTCAAAATTGGGTTATGATTATGTGAAAGAAGAGGTGGAACTGGTATTAAAACTTGGATTACTATGCTCTCATTCTGAGGCTGTTGCTAGGCCAAATATGCGGCAAATTCTGCTCTACTTAGAAGGCGCTGCAGCATTGCCAGATATATCCTCTCTTCGTATTTCTGCAGCTGGCCTAACATTTGCACATGGTGAAGGCTTTGATGATTTTAATAATTCAGATGGCAACTCTTCCACTGTTGCAGCGTCCTTACTATCTGGTGGGCGATAATTAAGAAGTTACGGTATAGATGCAGCATCCTAAAGAAGATTGTTGACTTCGAGGTTACTATGGTTGCTAAATCTTTTTTTACTTGCCTGTTCCTTATTATTAATCATATGACAGTTATATGTTTTGGACTATGAATCTAGACAATATTTTCATGTTTTTGGCTACCTGAACAAGAATTGGAATGTTTGTGCTATGGAATTTAGGCCCTGTTTGGGAGAAATTTTAATCAGGATTTTAATAAAAAATCTAACCGTTAACTATCAAACCAGTCACCATTTTTACCTTCCCTCTCACAGGTGG